CTGAGCAGCAGAAGACAGGTTGTTGACAACTTGTCCTGAGTGCATTGCATCAAGCAATCTTTTCAAACCAAAAGGTTTTCTCAAGATTACAAAGAGTTGATCTGACAAGCTTATAATCTGGAATACATAGTGAGAATTGAACCATTTGGAAAAAGTAATAAGAAATCTAACAATATGTACTGAGAAATCTATAATCTGGAAAATGTGGGAATTCACAATCTGGAAAATATAGTGAGAATCAATTACTTGAAGTATGTACTGTAGCTAGGCTTTCATAAACAGGTATATGTAGTTATAAAATCATACTTTGGAATATGCAGAAGTTCAAACAGATAAAAAAATGGTTACGCAAAAAGAAGGGAGAAAAAAGGGTAGAGAACATAGACTAAAATCTGAAGAACAATAAGAAGAAAAGGGTAAAGAAAATGAAAGAAAAAAAAAGAAAACCATCTGCCATTACATAACTTACTAAATCATTTCATTACCTCCACCAAGGAGGTATTGCTTTGGTAGTTAGTTTGTGTTGGTTGGTTAGCAGGATAACTCAAAAAGTTATCGACAGATTTTTATGATATTTTTACTAGAGGTGTGTCTTAAGCCAATCTCGATGCCATTCAATTCTGAAGAATCATGATCTGAATCCCAGAATTTTTTGAACAATTACATTTGTTACCCACTGCCTTGTCAGATGTATGCATTCTTTAAGTGCTTCTAGCAGGATAACTCAAAAAGTTATAACAGGTGATGGTGAACCAGATCATGATCTGGATCCAGGATTTTTTGTTTAATGATAGCATTAGTTACCTATAATGCCTTGGCAGAGGAATGTACTCTCTGAGTGCTTGTAGTTTTTTCACGTTTTTATGTCTGAGGATCTTCCTGTTTGAGATTAACGTAGTAGGGCAGGCCATACTAAAAAAAATTGTAAATTCATTGAGAGGGGTGTTCAAATCATGTATTTTGGTGTAGAAGACAAATCTGGATTCAATTTCTAATTCTGATAACCCTAACCTACATCAATTTGCAGTTGATTATTGTTAATTTTTTTGTATTATTTTGCTATTCTTCTGGAATGAACTTAATTTTATTTGCTATACCACCTATCTTAGAAGTAGTAATAATGTAGTCGACCCCCGCAACCTGCAGCGCAGCATACTTCCCCCAGGTTGGGTTCAGGTCCACAGCCTGTCCTCTCGCCCTCACCATTAGCAGCTTCTCGACGATGCATACCGAGACCTGATTGGTTGACGATGGACACCTCACGGCTCACCTATTGGACCACAGGCTCCCCTCATTCCCGGGTGGCTGGCACAACTCAGACCCATTTAAGCTCCAGCACCCGGGCCGAGTTCTGCAATCACAATCCTCTAGCTGAGCAAGACACAGCAAGCAACAAACAGGCCTACCCAGGCCTTACCCATCGGGGGAGCCGCCGATGGTGGATGCAAATCCAATGCCATGATAAAATGGCTGTTTTACAGAGGTTTATCAGGTGAGACATCAATTCTTATGTGATTTAGGGTTTTCTCCACCTCAAAAGAGACCCCTGACATCTCTCCCTCATATACAGCAAGCAAGTTAACTGTGTGTGTACAGAGCTAATGTACAGAGCAAAATCATCTTCAGGTGGAAATGCGTCTGCTCATTCACATCTACCCTACTCTGATTGGTCAGTAGAATAAAGCTAATGCTCTTTCCAAGCCACCTGTTATCAATGGAAAGGTGACCATCATATCCAAGCTCAAGGAGGTCTGGGATCAGACAGTGAAGTTATCTCTTGGGAAAGGCAAACTTGATGCAAAAGAGAGGTTCATGGTCAAGGTAAACAAGTTATTTGATATACTGACTTGCAAGTGTCATATAACCATTTGTGAGGAGGAAGGCTGTGTGAACCAAGCCCAAATTAACTGTTCCTGCTGCAGAGAGAAAAAGATTCCTGTTAAAGAGCTTGCCTACGTCAAGGGACAGAAAGAGAAGGTTGGAGGCATAGGTCCCCACCAAATGGGGGGCCCTGATCTGCTAAAGCACAAGAGACAGGTGAAGACATTGGATAGGCAGGAGATTGAAAATAAGGCAAAGAAAAGGAGAAGGAGCAAGGTGGAAAATTCTGAAGCAGCAGAGAAGGCAGCCAGGAAGGATATCAAGAGATTTTTGGTAGATGGTGATGAGAATCTGGAATTGGAGAGAAGTGGTGCCGAAGACGAGTTTGTCCCTGAAGTTGAACATTTCCTTGAAACTGACCCTGAACCTGCAACTTCAAGAAAAGTACAGAAAACCTATGATGAGATTCCAAACATTGCTCTTGCTTGTGTAAGGTTTGGCAAAGGGCTAAGGCTAACTGCAGCCATAGGAACTGCAGCCCTAATTGATGCAGGAATCATCACAGAAGACGACACAAGGAAAGTGATTAATAAGAATAAGGTCAAGAGAGCACAGGAGAAGTTGAGAGAGCTGGGGTAAGAGTTTGAGGAAAAGTGCAGGGAGGAGGGGGGGATCTCCTGTATCCTCTTTGATGGGCTAGACACTGTGGTGCCCACTGTGAAAAGATCTGCTTGGAATGCCCACAGTGAAGCCCTCATCAGAAGGAGAGAATTGAGGGGATGGAAAGAATTCTGGCTATCAGGGGAGAGGGGGATCCAGGCACTCAGTCGAGAACCCCACGATCAGGACCAGAAGGACACCTGACATCAACTGTGATGCTTTAAGTATTGGTGGCTTGATCAGCTGGCCGGAGGGTGTGTCAGAGCCATCTCTCACCTGTTCCCTGCACACCTCAGAGGTAAATGATGCCCCCACGAAGGTTCCCAACTGGCCTTGCCACACACAAAGCATTGAGAGTGTTGTGAAAATGGTGACTGAGGCTTCTGCCAAATGCTTCTCACAGGAAAATGGGGATGGAGGGATCGGGGCTCAAGAGACTGAGGAGACTGATGTCCAAGAATGACTCAAAGCAGGACTTGTGCAACCTGACAACATTCAAGAAGTCAGGAGATTGATCTTTGCAAATGTATCCAGAGATATAGTGCCCATGGTGTTCAACTGTTAGTAAATATGTAAATTTGAATTGCTTTGCCCATTAATTTCCATTTCATCTTCTTATAAAGGGGTTTGAAAGAATAAAATAAGTTATTTGAATACAAAAATTATGTAGGTTGGAGGTACCCTATCAAAAAAATAAACTCATATTTGAATTCTCCACCAAAAAATACATAACTTAGACACGTTAAGATTTCCTTCAAATTCATGTTGGCACCTGAGTATGGCCCGCCCTACTAACGTAGTTCCTTTATGAATCTTAGGCACATAGAATACATATGTTTAAACTCTAGAAGGCAAGCATAGACACTTGAGCAATGGCAGTGATAAATCAAAACTAATGTAATAAAATTAAAATAATAATTCAAAACACAAATTAATAAGTTCAAAATCTTTAAATATAATTGTAATGAAGGAAAGAAGGAAAGGGGGAATAAACAATAACATTAAATACGATAATCAAACAAATGCTAATAATAATCATCATAATGGTAACAATAATAATAACAAAAATAATTACAACTATTATCATCATATCCTACTCACCTTCCACTCTGGTAACTGACTAAGCACTTTTAATCTCTCTTCTACTCCTACAAAATCACTGCCTCGGAAAAAGCGCAACGTCTCAATTGAGAAATTGAACTTCGTCACTGTAATGCAAGAGATCAAAAGATTTAATAATATTCTTTGCAAACAGTAAAGACTACAGTAAGAAAAACTTGGAAAAGGTCAATAGTAGATCAAAAGCTAAAAAAAAAATTAATTAAGAGAATTCACAAAATATGAAATTATACTTATGGAACAAAAATGTAAAAAAAAATATACATTTATATACCAATATACAACAGATACTCATCAATCTTTGACAATATATCAACATGATCCTTCATGAAAAAAAAAATAAATATATACCCCAATCAATACACACAAATTTATTTCCAAATCTACAGAGATGCAGTACCACATACTCAACATTGATTTACCTTTGTATTTCCATAGCATTTTTGTCCATCTTTCTATCTTTGAAAAAGGAATGAGGAACAGCTCAGGTTCTTTGACAGCCACCTCTATTGTTGATACCCCCCCAAGCTTTGGGTATTTTTTAAGTAGACTTATCACATTTACTGGGTCTATATTTAGTATACATGTGTTTGACACCACCTGCAAGATTAATTGGCTTTGTGAAGTATATGTTTCTTCCTTTTATCTCACAGTCGGAATATCAGCAAAAATACTATGCTTAAAATAATCAAGTTAAATTCATCATGATTAATGACCTCTGTTATTATATGCATCTATGATAAAAGGATCTGAAATATGATTGTATATAAACATTTAAAAAATAAGAATAATAGCAAAATGAGATATAAGTTCATATAACACATCCTACATCTCAAGAAAAAAAAATCAGAAAGCAAAGTAAATCTATGTCATAAAGAAATCATAAAAGATTCACATATATCATATACTCACATAACTGAAGTCTAACCTAAGTGTATCTACAACAATGTCACAAATATCCTGATAGGAGACAAGAGGCTTCCAGGCTGGTGACCAATCACCCTTGAAAAGTATTTCAATTGCAGAAGAGTCTGAGGGGAACCTGGGTGAAAAATAAGATTTGCAGTTTCTTATTGTTAACATTATCATTATCATCACTGTCATCATTCTGACCATCATAAAATGGGACCTGGCTCACGTATCCCAAACAAGGGAGATGTCATACATACTAATTCCAGGGCATAAATAGCATGACCAATGACAATATCTAACCCATATGCTTACTTGAGTAGCCACTTTCACAGGTGTGTGGCTTTTAGGCCGGGCACACACAAACACTCCCTGTCATCACATGTCATGTTACTATGATGTATGCATATTTATAAGATACTCTCGTACCAACATGCCTCATTCCCTGGGGCACTGCCTGAGGGAGAATGCTCCAATTGCCTATTGTTCTA